CCTTCCTACAACCCTTAAGCAAACCTCTTTTCAAAGATCCCCAACAAATATAAATTCTTTTAAACAGTGGCTCCCCATTTACAAGTTTGCTTTTAATTTGAACAGTGGTCCTAGGGTTGTTTTTTTTTATCTCTTCAGCATAAGACCAAAGCATAGCATATTGCTCACAATCAGACCCCACACCAACCTGAGACACATATTTTTTAGCCTGATACATTTGCCATCTACTGAAAATAATCCCTACTTTCCTTTGCATCTCTGCCATCATTGCCTCTACTGGCCATTTAGGATTATCTAAAATCTTATTTTTGTAAGTTTCAGCTATCCATTTTGGAGTAGCATGACTCACCTTTTGCTTTCTAGGACACTTATGCTTACCATTGAATGTCTTAACCTGCACAGTGTCTTTATTCTGAACTTTGGATGCATAAATGAGCCAAGGACATGACTTGTTTTTGCATCTTGCTTGCACCTTATAGCTCAAGTTAATTATAAAAGACACTTCTCTACCTTGTGCAATTGCAAAATTCCTAATTGCCTTTCTAAACATGGTCAGATCAGGAAATTTCATGCCCAATTCAAACTGTGGATTTTGCATGTCTTTTTGATGATCAAAAATTGGATGGGCACTACTAGTTCTTTGCTTACCCTTGCTAGTTGCAAATTCAGCCCTATCAGGTTCCTCTCTATTTATCCCTCCCCATTCAATATCTGCATCTATATTGCCCTCAAACATCCTATCATCTTCATCATACAAATCACAATCACTTTCAACAAACTCATCAGAAAAATCAGAGTCTGATCCAAAAGATTGGATTTCAAACTCACTGTCAGAATCACCCAAATTATCATCACCCAAATTATCATCATCATTTTGTTCCTGAGTCCAATTATCAATTAACTCATCTAAATTCTCCTCATCATCCCCTACAAAATCCAATGGTTCATCAACAGAAGGCAAGCAATCAGAAGGTAGACTAGCCATGTACTCTTCCATGTGTTCAACATATAAACCAACCATTCTAATATCATCAACCCAATTAACAAGATTTATGGCATCCAAATCATTTTGCAATACAAACAAAGACCGGTAATCATTAACACCATTTTTACTGCAATACACACACTTAACACTTTCTACCCCAACTTCAGAAGCCATACAAAAAATTCAATCAGTGAGAGCTCATCAGGGTCGCAGTAG